CCTGGGGAGGGACGGCGATTCTTCACCTGGACGATACCCCAAGCAAACGCTGGCATAAGCAGAAAGACTCGGGGGCGCGCACACATGGAATAGCGATCCATGGATTCGGCGCGCGGTCGCAAAATCCGTGGATCGGAAGAGGTGCCCTCCCCAAAATGCGGCCGGCACCGCCTCGCTCGGCGACGGAAGTCCGGGATTGCCCATGAAAACGGGACCCGTCGCTAATCTACGCCCCCTTGATCCATAATTGCGATCGCCTGAGCTTGGACGATACCCCAAGCAAACACTGGCATGAACAGAAAGACTCAGAGGTCCGCGCAGACTTCGCGGATCGGCGTTTGTCGGGCGTTGGCAGAACTGGGTGTAAAGGAACCTGGTTCAATGGTGTGAACTGGGTTTAGTGGGGCCTGGTTTACTGATATGTACTGGGGGACGCCCCCCCCGCTTCGTTCCACTGACCGGAACTGCCGTCACCCGAAAAAAAACAGCTACGATAGGCCGGGTTTACTCGTCGGTCGGAAGAAGTAGGTAGAAGCATGAAGTAGGAAGGCGGATAAAGTGGATTGGGTCCAGGCCCTCCCAGAGAATAACAAAACACAACAAAAGCATGCCGATTCTTGAAGTAGGAAGGCGCTTGAAGTAGATTGGGATCTCGGAACCCAAACATACCTACTTTCAACGACGGGCGTGCAGTGGTTCGGGCCAACTCAGGAGCTCCAGGTCCAGGGACTTCATGAGATAAGCAAAGGCGCCATAAAACCCGGGGAGATATCGTAGCCCGCGCCATGATGTCCACCCCCCCTAGTCATCACCCCCGTCTTTCTGAGCATTTTCGTAGGGTGGAGGGCTCAGGGTGAAATCCAAATGGGCTTTTGCACCTCGATGTTCAATCCATCTTCTGATTCACCGTTTGCAAACTCAGACCTCGGAAATCAGTCGAAACGGCATTTCAGATTTCAACCTTTGCCCTCCACCCAAGGAAAATGCTAGGTCTTTGCCGCCCCCAGAACCCTGACCTTCCAGAGAGCTATTTTCTAGCACGGGGGACCTAAAAACCTGAAAAACGAAACGAAACAGCCTAAAACCAAGACATAGAATAGCTCTGGGCTATGTTTTGAAGTCGTGAGCTGTTTTTTAGCCCTCCTGGAAGGTCAGGGAACTTGAGGGATCGGGGGCCCTGCCGCTGACCGGGTCCCCGTGCCCTGGGGCCCTGGCTACATACCCGAGCTCGGTCCCCCTCTCCCGGGAGCGCGCGCCGGGGCTGCGCGCCCGGGCCGTGGCCCTCCGGAGGGGTCCGAGGGCACCCTGTGGCCCTCGCCCCTGCTGCCGGGGTTGGGTCGGGCGTGCCCCCCCACAGCTGGGCATTTTCTAAAAGGGTGTGGGGCTCAGGGTGAGATCCACCTGGGCTTTTGCACCTCGGGAACCAATCCGCCTTGTGATTCACCGATTGCAGGTTCAAGCTTGGGAAATCGATCGAAACGGGATTTCAGATTTCACCCTTTGCCCTCCACCCAAGGAAAATGCTCGGCACATGGGGATTTTGGACGACAAATTAGAAAATAGACAAAGGCATACCCAACAATAATAACAAAAAACATAACAATCGTCCGCAGACTATTGGTTGACTATGTTTGAAGATTCCGCCTGTAGAGGGACAGGCCCACCTTAGTACCAGGGCACACGGAGCCGTTCTGAACATATCCCGAAAACGCACCCGGCCCACCAGACGTGGAGGCAGGAGGTGGGATAAGACAACAGTAAACAACAGTAATAGTGGGAATAACAACTGTAAAAGCAAGGAGTTATACAAGCACAACACCAGTAACAATACCAACAGCAATACGAACAACAATAACAGGATCAGGGAGGAGGGAGCAACGACGGCAGTTGCCTTGCGATGGTCCAACAGGAGGGAGGGGGGGAAGAGAGAGCAGAGTTCCCGCTGCACTCTCCACATGGCGGCACAAGTGTCTGCAGCCCGGCCCGCCCCCTCCCCCCCCCCAGGGACGGGGGGGGAGGCGGCAAGGTGAGGGAGAGAGGGGGGCGGGGAGGTGAGCGGGAGGGCGGAAGCATCAGATGCTCCTTCTGGGGACCGTCCTGGAGTCACTCGCTCCACTCGTGCGTCGAAGCTGCGCCGAACGCCCGTCGAACCTGAGCCGAACCTGGGCCGAACCTGAGCCGAACCTGAGTCGAACATTAGTCGAACTGTAGTCGAACTAGAATCGAAAAGACCCGTTAGGTGGGCCCCAGGAATGTCCCCCAAACGAGGATCTAAGGAATGAGTGGCTGGCTAACTTTGATATGTGGGACGGGGAGCCCGAAGACAAATGAAAAAGGGACTCGCTTCATGGTGAAAAGGCGGATACATACGGAACAGTAAAACAATACATAAGCACTTTTCAGAAAAAGGGAGGGGAAACCTTCAGATGGGAGGGCGCTATGGCGCCAGGTCCCGTCTCCTTATTGCACATACCCAGCAAGTCTAACCGTACCCCTCCAT